AGCGGCGAAAATCGCGCAGTTTTTGGCCGGTAGCGGCGAAAATCGCGCTATTTTTAGCAGGTAGCGGCGAAAATCGCGATTTTTGCCCGCCAGCTGCGAAAATCGCATGGTTTTTGGACGCTGGCGGCGAAAATCGCGCGGTTTTTGGCCGGTAGCGGCGAAAATCGCGCTATTTTTGGCTGGTAGCGGCAAAAATCGCGCGGTTTTTGGCCGGTAGCGGCGAAAATCGCGCTATTTTTGGCCGGTAGCGGCGAAAATCGCGATTTTTGCCCGCCAGCTGCAAAAATCGCATGGTTTTTGGCCGCTGGCGGCGAAAATCGCGCGGTTTTTGGCCGGTAGCGGCGAAAATCGCACTATTTTTGGCCGGTAGCGGCGAAAATCGCGATTTTTGCCTGCCAGCTGCGAAAATCGCATGGTTTTTGGCCGCTAGCGGCGAAAATCGCGCGATTTTTGGCCGGTAGCGGCGAAAATCGCGCTATTTTTGGCCATTAGGGGCGAAAATCGCGCGGTTTTTGGCCGGTAGCGGCGAAAATCGCGCTATTTTTGGCCGGTAGCGGCGAAAATCGAAATTTTTGCCCGCCAGCTGCGAAAATCGAATGGTTTTTGGCCGCTAGCGGCGAAAATCGCGCGGTTTTTGGCCGGTAGCGGCGAAAATCGCGCTTTTTTTGCCCAAAAATCGCATGGTTTTTGCAAGCTGCGAAAATCGCATAGTTTTTGGCCGCTAGCTGCGAAAATCGCGCGGTTTTTGGCCGGTAGCGGCGAAAATCGCGATTTTTGCCCGCCAGCTGCGAAAATCGCATGGTTTTTGGCCGCTAGCGGCGAAAATCGCGCGGTTTTTGGCCGGTAGCGGCGAAAATCGCGCTATTTTTGGCCGGTAGCGGCGAAAATCGCGATTTTTGCCCGCCAGCTGCGAAAATCGCATGGTTTTTGGCCGCTAGCGGCGAAAATCGCGCGGTTTTTGGCCGGTAGCGGCGAAAATCGCGCTATTTTTGGCCGGTAGCGGCGAAAATCGCGATTTTTGCCCGCCAGCTGCGAAAATCGCATGGTTTTTGGCCGCTAGCGGCGAAAATCGCGCGGTTTTTGGCCGGTAGCGGCGAAAATCGCGCTATTTTTGGCCAGTAGCGGCGAAAATCGCGCGGTTTTTTGGTAGCGGCGAAAATCGCGCTATTTTTGGCCGAAGCGGCGAAAATCGGTTTTTGGCCGCTAGCGGCGAAAATCGCGCGGTTTTTGGCCGGTAGCGGCGAAAATCGCGATTTTTTAGCGGCGAAAATCGCATGGTTTTTGGCCGGTAGCGGCGAAAATCGCATGGTTTTTGGCCGGTAGCGGCGAAAATCGCGCAGTTTTTGGCCGGTAGCGGCGAAAATCGCGCGGTTTTTGGCCGGTAGCGCCGAAAATCGCGCTATTTTTGGCCGGTAGCGGCGAAAATCGCGATTTTTGCCCACCAGCTGCGAAAATCGCATGGTTTTTGGCCGCTAGCGGCGAAAATCGCGCGGTTTTTGGCCGGTAGCGGCGAAAATCGCGCTATTTTTGGCCGGTAGCGGCAAAAATCGCGATTTTTGCCCGCCAGCTGCGAAAATCGCATGGTTTTTGGCCGCTAGCGGCGAAAATCGCGCTATTTTTGGCCGGTAGCGGCGAAAATCGCGCGGTTTTTGGCCGGTAGCGGCGAAAATCGCGATTTTTGGCCGGTAGCGGCGAAAATCGCGCTATTTTTGGCCGGTAGCGGCGAAAATCGCGATTTTTTGGCCGCCAGCGGCGAAAATCGCATGGTTTTTGGCCGCTAGCGGCGAAAATCGCGCGGTTTTCGCCGTAGCGGCGAAAATCGCGCGGTTTTTGGCCGGTAGCGGCGAAAATCGCGATTTTTGGCCGGTAGCGGCGAAAATCGCATGATTTTTGGCCGGTAGCGGCGAAAATCGCGCGGTTTTTGGCCGGTAGCGGCGAAAATCGCGCTATTTTTGGCGAAAATCGCGATTTTTGCCAGCTGCGAAAATCGCATGGTTTTTGGCCGCTAGCGGCGAAAATCGCGCGATTTTTGGCCGGTAGCGGCGAAAATCGCGCTATTTTTGGCCGCTAGCGGCGAAAATCGCGCGGTTTTTGGCCGGTAGCGGCGAAAATCGCGCTATTTTTGGCCGGTAGCGGCGAAAATCGCGATTTTTGCCCGCCGTCGGCGAAAATCGCATGGTTTTTGGCCGCTAGCGGCGAAAATCGCGCGGTTTTTGGCCGGTAGCGGCGAAAATCGCGATTTTTGGCCGCTAGCTAGCGAAAATCGCGCGGTTTTTGGCCGGTAGCGGCGAAAATCGCGATTTTTGCCCGGTTTTTGGCCGGTAGCGGCGAAAATCGCGATTTTTGGCCGGTAGCGGCGAAAATCGCATGGTTTTTGGCCGGTAGCGGCGAAAATCGCGCGGTTTTTGGCCGGTAGCGGCGAAAATCGCGCTATTTTTGGCCGGTAGCGGCGAAAATCGCGATTTTTGCCCGCCAGCTGCGAAAATCGCATGGTTTTTGGCCGCTAGCGGCGAAAATCGCGCGGTTTTTGGCCGGTAGCGGCGAAAATCGCGCTATTTTTGGCCGGTAGCGGCGAAAATCGCGATTTTTGCCCGCCAGCTGCGAAAATCGCATGGTTTTTGGCCGCTAGCGGCGAAAATCGCGCGGTTTTTGGCCGGTAGCGGCGAAAATCGCGCTATTTTTGGCCAGTAGCGGCGAAAATCGCGCGGTTTTTGGCCGGTAGCGGCGAAAATCGCGCTATTTTTGGCCGGTAGCGGCGAAAATCGCGATTTTTGCCCGCCAGCTGCGAAAATCGCATGGTTTTTGGCCGCTAGCGGCGAAAATCGCGCGGTTTTTGGCCGGTAGCGGCGAAAATCGCGATTTTTGGCCGGTAGCGGCGAAAATCGAATGGTTTTTGGCCGGTAGCGGCGAAAATCGCTTGGTTTTTGGCCGGTAGCAGCGAAAATCGCGCGGTTTTTGGCCGGTAGCGGCGAAAATCGCGCTATTTTTGGCCGGTAGCGGCGAAAATCGCGATTTTTGCCCGCCAGCTGCGAAAATCGCATGGTTTTTGGCCGCTAGCGGCGAAAATCGCGCGGTTTTTGGCCGGTAGCGGCGAAAATCGCGCTATTTTTGGCCGGTAGCGGCGAAAATCGCTATTTTTTGCGGCAAAAATCCCGCCGCCAGCTGCGAAAATCGCGAAAATGGTTTTTGGCCGCTAGCGGCGAAAATCGCGCTTTTTTGGCTGGTTTGGCGGTTTTTGGCCGGTAGCGGCGAAAATCGCGCTATTTTTGGCCGGTAGCGGCGAAAATCGCGATTTTTGCCCGCCAGCTGCGAAAATCGCATGGTTTTTGGCCGCTAGCGGCGAAAATCGCGCGGTTTTTGGCCGGTAGCGGCGAAAATCGCGCTATTTTTGGCCGGTAGCGGCGAAAATCGCGATTTTTGCCCGCCAGCTGCGAAAATCGCATGGTTTTTGGCCGCTAGGGGCGAAAATCGAGCGGTTTTTGGCCGGTAGCGGCGAAAATCGCGCTATTTTTGGCCATTAGCGGCGAAAATCGCGCGGTTTTTGGCCGGTAGCGGCGAAAATCGCGCTATTTTTGGCCGGTAGCGGCGAAATTCGCGATTTTTGCCCGCCAGCTGCGAAAATCGCATGGTTTTTGGCCGCTAGCGGCGAAAATCGCGCGGTTTTTGGCCGGTAGCGGCGAAAATCGCGATTTTTGGCCGGTAGCGGCGAAAATAGCGGCGAAAATTTTTGGCCGGTAGCGGCGAAAATCGCGATTTTTGCCCGCCAGCTGCGAAAATCGCATGGTTTTTGGCCTCTAGCGGCGAAAATCGCGCGGTTTTTGGCCGGTAGCGGCGAAAATCGCGATTTTTGCCCGCCAGCTGCGAAAATCGAATGGTTTTTGGCCGGTAGCGGCGAAAATCGCGCGGTTTTTGGCCGGTAGCGGCGAAAATCGCGATATTTAAGGCCGGTAGCGGCGAAAATCGCATGGTTTTTGGCCGCTAGCGGCGAAAATCGCGCGGTTTTTGGCCGGTAGCGGCGAAAATCGCGCTATTTTTGGCCGGTAGCGGCGAAAATCGCGATTTTTGCCCGCCAGCTGCGAAAATCGCATGGTTTTTGGCCGCTAGCGGCGAAAATCGCGCGGTTTTTGGCCGGTAGCGGCGAAAATCGCGATTTTTGCCCGCCAGCTGCGAAAATCGAATGGTTTTTGGCCAGTAGCGGCGAAAATCGCGCGGTTTTTGGCCGGTAGCGGCGAAAATCGCGCAGTTTTTGGCCGGTAGCAGCGAAAATCGCGCGGTTTTTGGCCGGTAGCGGCGAAAATCGCGCTATTTTTGGCCGGTAGCGGAGAAAATCGCGATTTTTGCCCACCAGCTGCGAAAATCGCATGGTTTTTGGCCGCTAGCGGCGAAAATCGCGCGGTTTTTGGCCGGTAGCGGCGAAAATCGCGCTATTTTTGGCCGGTAGCGGCAAAAATCGCGATTTTTGCCCGCCAGCTGCGAAAATCGCATGGTTTTTGGCCGCTAGCGGCGAAAATCGCGCAGTTTTTGGCCGGTAGCGGCGAAAATCGCGCTATTTTTGGCCGGTAGCGGCAAAAATCGCGATTTTTGCCCGCCAGCTGCGAAAATCGCATGGTTTTTGGCCGCTAGCGGCGAAAATCGCATGTTTTTTGGCCGGTAGCGGCGAAAATCGCGCTATTTTTGGCTGGTAGCGGCGAAAATCGCGCAGTTTTTGGCCGGTAGCGGCGAAAATCGCGCTATTTTTGGCCGGTAGCGGCGAAAATCGCGATTTTTGCCCGCCAGCTGCGAAAATCGCATGGTTTTTGGCCGCTAGCGGCGAAAATCGCGCGGTTTTTGGCCGGTAGCGGCGAAAATCGCGCTATTTTTGGCTGGTAGCGGCGA